AAAAAAAAACAAAAAAAAAATAGCGGTCCTTCCATTATCAACGAAATTTTTTTTGAGTGGAGCCCATCGGTCCCACAAAAGTATAGATTCTCGGTCCCACATCTAGCTAAGGCGTATTCTAGTAGTGGGTTGCTCGTTTCGGCTCCAAATCTTCAACTTTCCAAAAATCTTAAATCGAGGTATTCTAACTTAGTTTAGGTTAAAACTCGTATAAAAAATGCATATTAGTTGTTTTTAATAGTCTCTATGTTATTTTGTGATTGTTTTGCGATTTAACTAATTTGTTATTTTTTATCCAGACTATAAGAGTAGTGTGCTAAAAAAATTAGTAAAATAGAAAAATTGTTATTAGTTGTTAAAAAAATATTAAGTTACTTTTTACTGTGGTATATGTATTTTCGTGATTGTTTTTTATTAAATTAATTTGTTATTATTATCCACTTTAGATTATTTATTTGCTAAAAGACCAGTAAAATAGATAAATTGTTAGTTTAGTTCCCTATAGTGGTATCTTGTGGCCTAATGTAGTGCTCGTATTTGTAATGTAGTGCCCTTTTAGCGTAGTAAAATGTAGTGTCATTTAGCGTAGTATCCTTGTAGTTATTGAAATTAATCATTTAAGTATCTCTTATACCCAAAAATACGTCAAAAAGCTGATAGTTCAAACACAAACTTTGTCCAATTCTAGTCAACGATCAAAAATTAATTATTTAATTTTATTATAGTCAAAAATAGGCGAGTAACAAACAAACATATAAAATAATAAAACTAACATGTAAAATAATAAAACTAACATATTAAAGTAAAATAATATAATTAATATTTTTCAATTAACAGTAGCCGACATGGAGGTTCCGCTTTTGCATCCCGGACCTGCCACGCTAGAGCTACTGTTGCTATAGGGCAAGTATAAGTCGTCCTACATATAGGAGGAACAGTTACTGGCCCAGACTTTCCGCGCTAGGAGAGTAGATGATATGTGAGACTTTCTTAGAGCCCACCCTCTCTATTCCCGTATTGTCAGACGCCTCCAGGATATAATTTTTTATAGGATTGTAGAGATCGGCCGACTGCAGTTGGATTGGTCATTGATCACGGCCCTGATAGAGCGGTGGCGGTCGGAGACGCACACATTCCATTTGTCCATTGGCGAGGCCACTATCACGCTTCAGGACGTGGAGGTCCGGTATGAGCTGCCCTTTGATGGACACCATGTTGCTTTACCGAATGCCATTAGAGAGTATACGGGTTTGCAGTACCTGGAGATGCTGCAGCGGCTCGCCGGTTTCCAGCCATCGGATGAGACTGCATTGATTGGGGCCAGTCGTTTGTAGTTGATGCCCGTCCGACAGCATTTCGAGGTGATGCACGCTGACATCACAGATGATACATTGGAGCTTCATATTCATCGGTACACAAGATTGATGTTATTGTTTATGTTTGGAGGGATTTGTTCCCGAATACTACGGGAAATCTAGTTAGCTTGAGATTTCTTCATTACATCATTACAGGTGGGTGCTGCCACACTCCAATAGTACAATCTAGAAACCCCTACTATGATCACTGATCATCGTTATTTGTGAGACCTTGAATTCGTTTTCTTACACATTTTTCAATTTGGTTCCAAGTTTTCATTTCTCTGTTTATCAATTTGTGTGAGTTTTTTTACTTTTTTTTTTAGTTGGAGTGTACGAACAGGAGTAATTGGGTAATTATGAATGTTCGTCATGGGTATTTTGGAACTTTACTCTCCAACTAGAGTCCTTACTTTTTCCTCATTTAACAACACGTGCTAGCCCTTTTTGTTATTTGTATGAGACAAGTTGTCATCCATTATCATTTCTATTTTGGTGTCATCTACTCTTTCTTGGTTCTTCAATCTCTTCATCTAAAAGATGGTAAATTTCTCACCAGGTAGGCTACACCACACCGTTTGCAAATAGTTGGTGTGTACTCAACAGTCGCCTTTTGTGTGCTTTAATTCGGCTCTGTTTCGGGTCTCTTCATTATTACTCCGTCTCTCTCACTTTTCGCTTTTGGTTAGATTTTTAGATTTTCTATTTTCTATTTCTTTTCACATCTTTCGTACCTGTGACTTGCGCTGAGTTTTTTCGTGTTTCTTTTTTCGTTTTTTAAATATATTGCACTAATTCCTTGGCGATGGAGATATCTGTTAATTAGTTTTCCTCTTATTTTAAAAATATTTGGGTTATATTTTACATGCATGTCACTATTTTTACCTCTTCTTCACATGTTTGGGTATAAAATACTTGGGTGCATGATCTGTGTTTTCTCCATATGGGGAAAATTGATGCCTAGGTACATGATTTTGTACATTTGATGAATGGAAAATCAGATTTTGTGGTAAGCAATCTGATTCTTTTTGCACACTGATGCACCCATGATGTTTGATGGAATGCCTAAAAGAATAAGTAATCATCTAATTGCAGTAAATAAATAGTAATGTTAAATTAAGAGAAACATCTATTTACGGTATAATACTCAAATATATTCTTTCGGCTTCATCAGATATAAGCATTTTGATGATCCAACTTTGTTGATATGTCCATAATCCTATAAAGCTTTCAGTTTTACTTCACTCTAGATGCATTATGAACGGAAAGCTTGATTTAACAGGTATTGTCCGCTTGATGAAACCTTTTAATTCACAACCACTCCACCCTTTCTTTGGTGGAGACGAGACACTTCATGGACCAGTGGTGATTGGTGTGAGTTGGAGTTAATTGATTAGCACGAAATTAATAAAGAGTCGCAGGTATATAAGTTTTCTTCTAATTTTGATGCAGCTACCAATAAGTAAACTCTCTATTTCATGTCATTGACCATCTTTTATTTGGAAATTGGGACTTACTTTCCCAATTAATATGTGCTTCATTTCCGGACTTACCCCAAATGTCACTATAGATGAAACTGGATTTCTGAGAAATGATGGTGCTAGGCGTAAGATTGAATTGTTTAGTTTTTGATAGATATCTATGTTAATTCCTAATTCACTTGAAATGTCAAAAGGTGATACATGATAGTATCTGCTCATTTGTTTTAAAAAGGCAAATTATAATGCTCTCTGATGTGTAATTAGATAGCATATGTGCTTTGTCTACAATCCCTCAGGTACATGGTCACTTGTTTGCGACTTACTCATGAATCTGATTAAATGTTCTAGGGCAGTAATATGTCATGTTTCGCTAGAAAGGAACATTTTAAAGTTAGTTATATTATTAGATATGTTCAAAGATTAATACAGTCCATAAGATGTCTAGGGAATTTGAAAAGTAAGGTGTATGAATGCAAAAAAAAGAGAAAAATATCTAAGCTCTTCTAAATTCTGTGTTTCTGGGTGATGAATTGCATGAAATGGTGGAGTAGGATTCCTCTGTTAGTTGAGACTGCCCGCTCTTTATGTGTCTTATACGACATGGAGGGAATTAAAGGTATATATTGATGCATGATGTCACGACCCATTTTCTGAACAAGCCGGGACCGGCACCCGATAACTAAACATGACCGAGCGAACCATCTGTGCTTATCAAATCTATTATAGCTTCAAACTTTATATGCCACAAGGCACTACTGTAATCAAATACTTTTAATTAATTTAAATATCTAAAATAAACCAACTCCAAAACTTTATTCGTAGTAACAAATGAAATATTGCTAAGTTATTATCAACCTGATCGATTAGGCCCAATCCACGAGGTGCCACTCGCTTCATGGTTCTTAGCACTCATGTGTCATACCTTAGATGGCTAGGTAAATTCTCAGCAATGAGACCCTCGGCTCGTGTGCTCCCTACTTTGGCACAAGTAGTTTCAGGAAGTCAACGCCTTGATCAGGACCCTCGGCCTGGACGATGATCCCTTCTCAGAATAGAGGATACTCCCAAAAATCTTTTCTTTCTAAAACTTCTTCTTGTGACTTTTCAAGTCTAAATCCTTTCTGGAACATCCTATACATATTCATACTGTTATTCTTAAATGTAAAGCATGACGTAAGAATGAAATAAACATTCAAAAGTATTTCTAAAGATTCTTGCATCTTCATAAATTTTCAACATGAAAATGGCATATAAGAATAACACAAAAATCTAAAATTTATGCACATATATCATAATAAATCATCTAAACTTTTGCTAGAACAATTCTAAGTTAATAGGTACTTACTCGCTCCAATTAAGTACATATAAATTCTTTTAAGCAATTCATCAAACACCTTGTATACATGGTTTTGTGAGTTAAACCACTTTAGTAAAGGGTTATATCAACTCACCTCAAAACTCCTTGAGCCAACCATTGTATTTGAATTAATTTCAAAGTTTCACACCTAAACATGGAACTTACTCTTGATACAAAAGAAGAAGGGAATTAACTATTCAATTCTTACGTACTACTACTTTAGGATAATTGACAATAGGGAATTTTATATACCTGAGTTTAAGAATTAGTGATTTGTAAAAAAACTTAGAATTTTTGTTTGCGTAAATAGTCTTGCTGCCAATGTTTCTCGTTCTGTTTCTCTTTTCCGCATGAGGCTTGAGGCTTACGTGAGTTTAAGCCTTCTGTCTTGTTCCTATAAGGCTTCCTATAAGGCTTTTCGGCCTTCAGACTTTTGCTTTCAAGCCTTTTGCCCTTTTTAAAAGAAATACGTTTCTTACCATTCCAAGGCTTTAAGCCCTTTTTTTTTATTATTATTTTTCTCTTTTTGTTTTGTTTTATTTTGCCTTAACTAATAATTAATGATACTCACTTTTAAAAATTACTAATATTAAAATTATTAATATTCCCCTAAATATATATCCAATTCTTTATAAATAAAGAAGTAACTCAAAAATCAATAACAAGGGTTTAAATCTGTAATAGAAGTATAATTTAAGATTAAAAAAAAATTAATTCTATATTTAGCGAGTGTTGAAATTTCTATAGATTTGAGGAGTGTTACACCTGAGATACTATTATATGATGGAGGGCTAATATACTTTTTCTGGAATGTTAAATATAGGTAAAGCATATTGCATTATTTGAGTAAAATATTTGGGTGTTATTCTAAAAAAAAGTTTGTTTTCTCTTTAGACAAATAGAATATGTACGTGATAATGAATGCAACATTTGGACTAGCAGAAGAGAAGGTGAAAACAAATGCATTTCTAAGGCAATGCACTCGGATATGAGAAATCCGACCGGTTGGCCATAGATTCCAACCAGAGATGAAGGCAGCGGTGGAGGTAATGACGAGGCCGATCTGAATTGACGAGGCCGATCTGAATTGAGGAATTTGAGGTACTAAATTGAGGAATTTTCATAGCGGGTGAGAGAAGAGAGAGTACAAAGGAGAAAATAAATAAATATGAGGTCGGATGACAGTGTTCAGACGGGTTAGGCTGGCGGTGGTTCTCCACCGAGATTGTAACACAAGAGAGATAGAGAGAGTTTAAGGGAGATGGGGGAGGCGGTTAGGCTATAGTACGAAGATAAAAGAGGAAGAGAGGAAAAAGTTATTTTAGGGTTAGAAATCACTTAGAGAGGATATTTGCTATAAAACCCAATATGCAGTTATGTATTATAATTAGTTTAAAGTGTATTTATTTATGATAAATATAATGTATAATTTAATTATACCATGTAAAATTTTCTACTTTCTATACCGAAATTATTGTCGTTTTGTACCTCAGTTTTCTACAAAATGACCTCCTATAGCCAATTACAGTTTGAACATAAGAAAAAGACCTACAAAGATGTTCTATGGAGTATTTTACTTATCGATTTTCTGTGTTATATTATATCGATCTTCTGTGAAAATTGTCATATAAATAAAAGAACATTTATAATTGGCCATAAAGTTGACTTTTAGGCTATTTATGCCTTTTTTTTATGAAGAAAAACAAGACTTAAATATAAACTTGTGAACTCATTATACACGTATATTATTAATAAGAGTAACACAAAGAGCAAGTAATTTATACTAATAATTAAAAAGTATTTAAAAATTAGGTCACCTACAAGCCCCATCTACATTTACATGTAGGTTTATACATTTGAGAGTCATGCAAACAACATTGAGTAAAATGATTTTATACAGGTAGTTCATGAAACATATATTCTGATGTGAACATTTCAATGTGTTGAGGCATATGATACTTCACGTTGGTAAATAGGAGAATTTAGTAAGTTTTAACATTATTCTGCGATATACAACCAAAGGTTTATGTGTGCGTATATAAAAAAAAACATAACTAGGCAATATTTACAGAAAATTTGCAAAACGATAGCAACATTAGTTAATTACATTTACGGCACCTAAATATTAACATATCATAACACCTTTCAAATAAATGTTCCTAAAATTCAGCCGGACAAGAATCAACCCCATTGCAAAATTATAGCAATTGTTCCTATTTTTTCGCTCAGATTTTTTATCTTCTATAACTGATGCAATCCTTCCATTCTTTTTTGTCTTCCCTTTTCTAATGCCTTTCTTCTTATTTTCTTTTTGTATATGCAAAATTCTTCTTTTCGTTTCCTTCTTTGGAGTTTAAATTTGGATAATAACATATTATAACTTCGATTGGTGGTTCTTATATATTTTCTATTACAATTGTATATGTGATAAATTATATAATAGTGTATATATAAAGTATAAAATACACAACTTTAAAGATTATGTATGGTATATTTTGTTTATTTACATATATTATGATATATATATAATTTATATGTGGTATAAAATTATAACAACCCGACTTGTCATTTTAAGAATTAACGCCTCGTTCAGTGACTTAAGGTCTCGCGCAGCTTCGTAATATGTATTATGATCCGCGGGTGTGGTCGAGTTTGATTTTCGGAAGATTCAGGGTTAAATTGAAAGAACAATTCTCATTTTTGAAGCTTAAATGAAAAGAGTTGACCAGAGTTGGACTTTTGAGTAAACGGCCCCGGAATAGAATTTTGATTATTCCAATAGCTTCGTATGGTGATTTTGGACTTAGGAGTGTGTCCGAAAAATTATTTGGAAGCTCGTAGTTAAATTAGGCTTGAAATGGCGAAAATATGAAGTTTAAGTTGAAAGTTTGACCGGGGAGTTGACTTTTTGATATCGGGGTCGGAATCCAATTATGAAAATTTTTATAGGTCCGTTATGTCATTTATGACTTGTGTGCAAAATTTGAGGTCAATCGGACTTGATTTGTTAGGTTTCGGCGTCGAATGTAGAAGTTAAAATTTCTTAGTTTCATTAAACTTGAATTGGGGTGCGATTCGTGGTTTTGATGTTGTTTGATGTGATTTGAGGCCTCGAGCAGGTTTGTGTTATGTATTGGGATTGGTTGGTACGATTAGACGGGGTCCCGGGGGCCTCGGGTTTGATTCGGGGTGGTTCCAGATCAAGTTTGGGTGTTTTGATGCTGCTGGTTGCTGGTTCTGGTATTGATCTTCGTGTTCGCGAGGAGCCTCTCGCGTTGGCAAAGAAGGATTTTGCTGTTGGGACTTTGTTCTTCGAGCTCGCGAAGAAGGAATTTTTGCTGCCCGTCGTCTGACTTTGGAGGCTCATATCTCGCAATTTATAAGGAATTTAGAGATGATCCAAAAATGAAAGTTGTAGACCTTTGTGTCTAGTTTTCAGAAAGGCAAACCATTTATCATTTGGAATTGTGTACAAAAAGTTATGGTGGATACACTAAAGGTTGTCTGGGAAGAGTTTGAAAATCTCTGTTGCACAGGGCTGACTTTGGAAGCTTATATCTCGCAATATATAAGGAATTGGGAGATGATCAACAAATAAAAGTTATAGCCATTGGAGTCTAGTTTTCAAAAAGTTAAACCATTCATCATTTAGAGTTTTGTACAAAACGTTATGACCATTATGCTAGAGTCTGTCTGAGAAACGTTTGAAAATGGTTGTTGGAGAATTTGTTCATCGCAAACGAGAGGGGAGGGTCGCGAACGCGAAGAACAAACCCCTGGGCAGCAGAATAAAGTCCAAATTCGTCTCATTCTTCCATTTTTGGACCAAGAAAGCTCGGGTGAGGCGATTTTTCGAGAGTTTTTCAAGGAAAATATTGGAGTAAGAATTCCTAACTTGATTTTGGTTAAATTACATAAATCTATTATTGTTTTTATTACTAAATTAGTGAATTGGGTTGAAAATGGTAGAAATTCTCTAGACTTTAATTTAAGATTTGAAGGGCGATCCGTTATCGGAATTTGATAATTTTGGTATGGTTGAACTCGTATCGGAATGGGTGTTCGAATTTCGTAAAACTTTTGTCGGGTTCCAAGGGGCGGGACCCGCGCTGACTTTTTAGAATAAAATTTTAAGTTGGTGTTTTATTATCCGAAATTATTTTGGATGAATTTTAATGAAGTTGTACAATTAATTTGGATAGATTTGAGCTGTCCGGAGGTCAATTCAAGCAAGAAGGCGATTTTGGAATATCGGCATAACTTCAAAAAGGTAAGTATCTTGCCTAACCTTGAGTGGGGGAATTACCCTTTAGACATTGAGTCTTATGTGAAAATTATGTGATTGGAAGCCGTGTACATGAGGTGACGAGTACGTACTCGGGTTTATATGTGCAAATTTTATTGGTTTAAGGTTTTAGGCATCTTTATGTATTAGATTGGATAATTGTTGGCATTTGGTAAATTCTTGAATTATCACGCGTCATTCCTTATTTGTCGAGTTTGTATTTTATATAATAATTTGGTGTTGTTGTTACTTGGATTTTATGTGAATTCCGTGTGTTTGTTGATTTGATAATTTTCTTGGAATTAAATTCATGATGGAATCCTTATCTGCAGATATTTATAAAATAAGTTTAAATTGAGAAGTTAATATAATTATCAAGAATTTGAATTAATGAAGGCGTTGCCCTATACTAAGTATTTTTCACCTCTGTTGATCGTTCTGAGGTTTTATATACGTTGTGTGGAGCCTTGGGCTATTTGTTGAGATATTTATTGATTATGCTACATATTTGGAATTTGGTTGTGGCCAGTGGAAAATTATGATATGAATTGTTGTATTGTGTTGTGGATTAAACACTCTCCTTGAATGTTATTTATGCTTCCTACCTTGCTTGTTAATGATATACATGTGCTTGGTAAGGAAGAGTGTAAAGCACGAAGGGTGATGCCGTGCCATTTGAGAGTGTAAAGCACGAAGGGTGATGCCGTGCCATTTGAGAGTGTAAAGCACGAAGGGTGATGCCGTGCCATTGAGAGTGTAAAGCACGAAGGGTGATGCCATGCCATTTCATTTATATTATCAGGTGAGGATGAGAGTAAAAGCACGAAGGGTGATGTCGTACCATTATTTTTATATTATCATATATTCATGGCACGAAGGGTGTTTTCGTGCAGGCGAGGACGAGAGACATACATTATATTGTGATATCGGTTTGTTGTGTATACATTCATGCCTTTATCTTGATATGTTATTGTACACCTATGTTTTCAATGTGACTTGTAATCATTGTTGCTTACTGTGTGCCTCCCACTTTATTTCTTTTATTGTTATTGACTTTTCTCCCAC